GGTTCTGATGAAGTGCCCGTCATCGTACTTGAAAAGGGCGCAGATGAACTTGCACCAGTATTTTGCAGACTTTTTAACCTGTCTTACAAGAAACGGGTTTTTCCTTCTTGTTGGGAGTTTATTCGTGTTCAGCCTATTCCCAAAAAGGGCAAGAAAATTTTTCCAGTCGCTTTGCTATCCAGTGATATCAAAAATCATGGAGAAAATCGTTAACCACCATATCCTCAAATATTTGGAAAGCTTCAACATCGTGAGCGATCATCAATATGGCTTTCGGAAACAAAGATCAACAGGATACCTTCTATCGTATGTCACCCATATTTGGAATAACGCAATCGAGAGACAGAATCAAGAGCTGTTGCGCTTGATATTTCTAAGGCCTTTGACCGTGTGTGGGGCCAAACTTTGATGCTATGGCTTGTTGGATCAATTTTGTGTATGGCTCTCCGGCTTCCTGAAAAAGCGTTCCCTGCAAGTGGCCGTCGATGGATATCTCTCGAATACCAGCTACGGAGGCACATCTTCATCGGCAGCAGGAGGTTGCATATCTCAATGAGGATCTAGAAGTGATTTCGAATTGGGGTGAAAGTAATCAGGTTCAATTCAATGCCACAAAAACCCAGGCATCGGTTTTCTCCAAGAAGATAAATGTCTCAGAACCGGATATAGTAATTCCAGGTCAGATAATTTCGCTTTCTGCTTCGATGGGGGTTGAACTGGACACTAATTGGTCTTGGCACAATCATGTCGCTGGAATTGCAAAGGCTGCTTCTCAAAAGCTTGGAAAACTGTTCCGAACCAGAAAACTAAACACACCTCAACAACTTTTGATGCTTCATAAAGCTCAGATCAAACCTTCTTTGGAGAACTGTTCTCATATATGGAGCTCTGCCCCCAAACATACCCTGAAGTTCCTTGATTCCAACCAGAAACGAACCCTCCGCCTGATTGGAGACGCGAACATCACGTGCAACCTTGATAGCCTGAAACATTGAAGAAAGTTTGGAGATTTGTCAATCTTCTATAGATACTTTTACGGGAGGTGTTCAAGTGACTTGACACAATTGATTCTACCAAGAGCGGTACATGTCAGAAATACGCGACGAATTGTGGCTTCTCATCGTTTTGAGGTTCAACTCAGTACACCTCGAACTTTTTTGTTTAAGAACTCTTCCATCTGGTTTTAACAAATGAAAATCTCAGTGGAAATTAGACAGATGTTATTTTTCCCTACCCTTCATTTATTTATTAGTGTATTATTTCTCTATTAGTGTATGCCCTCATCAGAAGGTTAGGTTATTCGGAGCAGTAGCCACATCGTTTTGTTTTCATTAGTTTGCGCCAGTTCGTGGACATATATCTGATGCACAAAATAATGACGTGTGCGCCTTCTTGATTCGTTTTTCCCGGTATGGCCATATGCATAAACAAAACGATCCACACGAAAACGTCAGGAATTTTTTCGGCCCGCGTGTTTTCTCCTCTGCACATAACCTCGATGTCGGTACAAACATTTCGAGTATACGTGATGTAACCGGCCGACGGCACGGTTGGTCGTAATCTTGGCGCCAGCCAGCAGTGAACTCGTAATTTCTATTTTTATACAGCGTACACAGCGACCACATCTCTCCGCTATAGTAATGCCATTACCACAACAGATATTCGACACTGTACAGCACTCCCATCTCCAGATAGTCGGTATTACAATGTTGTATTGTAATTTTGCCAACTAGGTAATATGCCTGAGACGGACATTGAGGCTACCTGCAATTTTCATTTATAGTGGAGATGTTCTCGAGATAACCGATACCACCGATTGGGAGATCGATTGAATATTTACGTCGAGCTCGATAAAAATTCATTGCGGATTGAAGTAAATGAGATATCACGTTTATGCGTATCTTCACTTTCAGTTCTGGTTCACAACAAGTAATTGAGTTTGGAGCCTGGTACTTACTATTATGACCTTATACAGACACATAAACCCAGAATATTCAAGAGACAGACATAACGGAGTGACTTTTTCATCATACTTAATAGTGACTGAAGTTCATCCATGAGAAACTTTCCTCAAGTATAAAGATTCGAGCCTAGAATTTTGGGTCCTATAAACCTATTTAGGTACTATGTAGGTACATTTGTAATACAGCGAACTATTTATAAGTTGAAACAATTCCTGCCTGACGAACCTTATTTAAAAACTTTGAATTTGTATAGCTGAAGAAATATCGAAGATATACTAGCGGCATTTTCGAGTACTATTTGGGTTAGGTGCGGTTTCTTATTGGTTGGTGAAGGCACAATGAAATGTGCAATGAAATCTACAATGCGACATAGGCGGCCGCTCAAAAAGAAACCGTTTTCAGGAATAACGTGTCAGACAAACACAGGGGACCCGTCCATTTTTTATTACTGAGGAGGTTATTGTAACTACACCACTTGCATCCCCAAAAACAAGGGTAAAACATCGAGTTGCATGGGATTGGGCAAAACAAATTTTTGAATATATATTAGAAATATGTTGTGTTGCCTTACACTGCCACTAACGAAATCTTTCAATCCAACAAACATTATCTAATATACTGGTACTTTCATTTCTGCCCTTGTTAATTCTAAAATTCAACTCGTCCTGAATGTTTTTATTGGTTTTAGTGTCTTGAGTTGTATTTTGAGTGTTCTCAAATTCTACCAGTTTACTATTTGGTAAAAGAACTAGCAGAGGTTAACAACTGTTTTGAATTTTATTGAAAGTAATACATAATTCCATTCAATCTGATTTAAACTTATGAAATATTTATACATTTTTAATCTTTCAATGGTGATGATTGCTGATTAACAACGACTTGAAGCAGTTTGTCTGTATGTATGATATCTCTCAGCTGTAGCACCCCTACGAACGACAACCCTCAGAAGTTGAAACTTGTGCGAGCTAAGGATTAACGAGGTCTTACCTTTTAACGTGTGATTCCTACACCTACTATTTTATGAACTTCACAAAACCTTGTTTTGAGTATCGTAAAAAATGATCAAATTATGAAGGAGATTTCATATTAAAACATGTTTGAATTGTAGAAAATGTGAGTTACGGTGAAAAAAGTGGCTGAAGTGACTGTGCTTCTCGTTTTCGATCGATTTATGAAAGATACTTATTATATTTGCTCCCTATCTTTTTAGAGAGAAAATGGATGAACCGATCAATAAGGTAGTTTATAAATATTAATATAATAACTATATTTTCGAAAATATAACTTTGGACTTAACATCAAAATGTTTATTCACTTATATCATGAATTGTGATCAATTTCTATTGTGATTTAAAAGTTTCTACTAGTGGTAACAATAGATTATCATAGTGTAAGATTCAATGATTATTCACTTCATTTTTAATTCGTATAATAACATTGTACCTATTTCCAAAGTTTGTTAAAATATTTCACTCTGTCCCTGCCTGGAAAAGTAATTGTTTTATTCACGTATTTCATATCACAAAAGATGTCCTTTCTGATATTCAAGAGTTCCTGGTAGGAGGTGTGAAAACATAATGGACCAACCAATGGCAATTCCGTGTTTTCGCCATTTACATTGCACACATTTTAACATATCTTTTAATAGTTCAAACAGATTTATTGTGGGACAAAAATAGAAATGGCATTGAGCATTGCTTACATTTTTATTAGAAATTTTTAATGATCGTAAAGACGGCTAGTGGCGCCAGTGTTTTGACTGGATTCGATAGCAAATAATGACCTAATGTCTAAATTTATCACCTGGCGGCGACGATCCTTTCCAAATTAGTTATTTCTCTTACTTATCAGAAGCGCATATTCAAAATAACAATTTTATCATTGTTTCATAATTAGGTCACTCAGACTTAATTGATTTTCGGTACAGTATGATAAACTACTTTTCCATTCTATCAAATGGAAATTAATCCTGAATGTGATCCAAAATCAATTAAATAATGAATTTTTGTTTCGCTCACAGGTATTTTTAGGCTATGTTAAGGAAATTATCGTAGTTTTTTTCAATAAGAAAAATAACCGTGCCAAACACCGTGCATGATAACAAAAATACTAATTTCAAAGAACTGAACGAGACTGAGATTGAAGTAACTGGTTGTGTGAATGGTTTTTAAGAACTGTCGTGATATTTACAAATAAGATTTAGTGAATCATCTTCCAAAGTCATACAAGAAGGTAATCTGATGAATTTTTGAAATCTAATGTTTTTATCCGAAACTTCTGGTAGCCCAACTAAATATTGAAATATTTCTTTGTACTTTTTTTATATTACGTTGTATAGCGTTTCTATGTATGTTGCAATTTTATTATGAATATTTAACTTACGAACTGAATAAAAACAAGTATTTTTGTGTAATTAAATGTTTAAACTAATTAATACAGTTTATTGTATGATTTTCACTATAAATGGTTTTACAAAAACCGCGACACGTGTCGGTTTTTGTAAAACCCTTTTATAGTGAAAATCATACATAAGAGTATGTTATTAAATTTTATTTATAAACATGACGTAGAAACTTGTGAGAAATGTTGCAAAACTAATTTATCACGAATGAAACGATTTGAACCAATACACTCATTTTGATATAAATATTTCCTGACCCCACGACCTTGCGATTACACTAAAATCGAATTGACTTCATCTAACAAATTCAGGAATATCAGAATGGCTCCCATTGCATTCAAAAATTTCAACATCGAAAATGTCATAATGGACAATTGGTTCTGCTTGAAAAGGTTTCATTTTTTGAGTCAATCTAACATACTTTCGATCGTTTGATGTAATCCATGCTTTAACTTTTTTCAGAGAGTGTAGTTCCAATGGTAGGTTTATATGTAATGTTCGTCGCAAACTATTATGCATAAACAAATAACCTGCCGACATTATCCTGTATAGATAGCACTTTGCTCTAAATTTGAATAGTATGCGCGCAAATAAAAAAAATTAATGCTGGCGCCGTCTAACTAACTCACCTGATAATGTTTGCTGAAGTTGTTTGTTACTTCATTACTAATTCCATGTTAGATAATTATTTTAAACGCAACGACACAAATTATTGCCAATGTTTCCATTATCACTATTATGAGTAATAACTTCCTGCGAAATGGAAAAAACAAAATCATCGTTGCTGTTACAAAATTCTTCAGTGGTGCATTTTGTAATGGTTTGTCGATTTTCAGTCTATCAATTATTCAGTTCATTTATAATGCTAACTAGCTGACTCCAGCGCTTCTCTCCACATTTTTTTTTTGTCATAGTATCGCATCAACTTATAACTAAAAATAGCAAAAGTTTGTTGATATCAATCGATAATAATTTTAACAGTGAGTACGGTATCAAAACAAAACTGAATGCGGCCTCAATCTCCATATTAGTTCACTAAATAAAACAAACCCAAAGCAACTGCAGCCTTTCGTCATCACGAATGTCGCATCGATATGTGAGACCGCTTTAAATCATTTCGTGCATATTTGAATTTATAGTGTCGGAAGCGATTAAAATGTGCATTAAATGCTTAAGGAAACTAGAGTATTTAATTAAAGATCAAAATTTCATCCCTCTAAATAGCTTGTACCATCACATCACATGTGACCATTTTTCAAACGTTTGAATGGATGCCAACCTTAAAAGATAGACTTATGCCACTGGAGATTTCTATGTAAATCTATAAGAGAAGCACGTAACGTTGCAGAATCATACTTCAACTGGGTAAATCCTCTCCAGAAAAATGTCTGGTAGCGTCAAGATAATGAGTTCGGACACACTATCACTGCGTCATTTCACCATTACATGGCTGACGGACTGCAAATAGTCATGATGCTTCGTAGGTGGCTCGGGCAGTTATTAACATTATCTACCCAGATAGAATAGGATAGGCAGCGTTTTCGGTGGAAGTTCCTCGGCTTCGGATGGGTAGCGAAGCCGCCCCGACTTCTCGCGGGCAGTATGGTCATGATATTTCAACCAGAACAATGAATTATACACATCAATATTTCTTTTAAATCACTTCGTCAATTGGTAAAAGTAAAAACCATATGAAAATCCGTTTGATAATTTTTGAGATCACTGTATTTAAACAAAAAGACGCGGCGGAGAAACTGTTCACAATATCCAGTGATATGATCTGAAATGTTCCGTGTAACTTCAAATTTTTCCAGTACAGAAAATACAGCCTCTCCAAATCACCTGTTTACCAGTTTTATCCAAGAAAAATAAATGTAAAATACTTACCTACTAGTTGCAAGAATGCCACTGAAACAGTAAGTTATGAGGTTCAAAAATTCCCAGACAATTATTCAGACCAGATTCAGGCGGTATGCTCTGTTGCCAGTCATTCAGTTAAATCATATTTCAATTAGAAGTTTAATGTGGTTCGAATTTTGATTCGTGCTGTTTTTGGGTGTATAACCTTCCACAATCTAAAAAATAAACAAAGCTGAATCAGTAGAGAATCTGCCAAAGTGCTAAAAGAGCCTACTGAAAAATTCACCCGAAAAGTTACTGCGTAATATAAATCACTGTAGAGTCCAAGCAGTCAGTAACTAGTTGTATTGACGAATTTGACTACAAATTTAACAATCAATGAAAAAGTACAAAACACAAAAAATCACCAGTGAACAACGCCTCAACTGCAAACAGCTATATTTCCTTTGACACATGTCAAAAATATTGAAATATCCAGATGTCATATTCGATAGTCTTTATGAATACCCATACAGGATGTATGGGTATTCATAAAGCTATTTGAAATACATTTCTTTAGCAGGTAATAAGTGTATTTCAAGTAACGATTCTTCGAGTTTTTTCATTTGTTTATGATATTCCCTGATGACAATTTTTGTTGCAAGCCGTTTTATTGCGTGATCACCAGTTGATTTCGATGTATGCGTCCCTATCCCCGATTCTGTTATCTGTCTTCTCTATATATATTCTCAATGTTCATTTTTTCCTACCTCTAGGTATCTTGATATCACTTACATAAGCTCATCCATAAGAACAAGGAATATCGTAAATACGCTTTTTCGTTTTTTTAACCGTGTTTTCGGAATTAGTTTGTGTCAAAAGAGATTTCAATGTGTTGGTAGTTCTAAAAGTTATTCTTACATCATATCTTTAATCGATTTGTCTCAATTTTTCAGACAAACCGGGAACATCTGGTATGACGTTACTTGGCAGATACGTGTGTTATTGTTGGGTTGGTTATGTGGAATACTTGTGGAATCTATATATGAGTGTTACTGTTTTCACCAATTTCTCATTTTCCTCCACAATTGTTTTAATAATAGTTACTTTCTCTTTTAGATTGCAAACTGCACATTTCTTGAAGAAATTGGAACGTACATAATTTTTCAGCAAACTTTTTTTTAATCATGGAGAACAACCCCTGAAAAATCAGAGGAAATAAGTGTGAAATAAGTTTTTTAAAAAATATATTTTTTTCCCGCATTAAAATGAGATAATTGTTTTGTTTATAATAATAAACATACCAAGGTCTCTCTCAGCTTTCCACCAATAGTGCTTTACGTCTACGGTGACATTAAAAAATTAGATTCCTACGTAAGAAAAGAATAAGAAAATTTTCTTATTGAAAATTGTAAATAGAATGAGAATAAATTGATGGATGTTTTTTTTTCAATTGGTGATTTCTACAGAAATGAAGATAACCTTTTTATAGGCAATATTTTAATTTATTATAATTCAACCGGCATACATTTCTTAACCGTATATTGTTATTTTGTATATCTGAGTTGCGTTGAAAATGGACAAAAATCACTCTAACCAAATTTGTCAGTCAACATCAAATGAATTTCAAAAACATATTATAGAAAATATGTTAATCCCAAATTCAACTTTTTTTCACATAAAATACGATTGTATCTCCTTAGTTTTCATCCACCATATTACACTCTCGGACAAAAATATTGCATGTTTTATGATTTTTTTCATGTTAATTTCTTTTCCCTCAACACGTTATTTGTTTTTATTGATAAATGTTCAAAGGCCAAAGTATTTTACGTAAATTTCCATTCCGCATAGATGAAAGAATGCTTGGACATAGTCGCTATAGCTGAATAAGTAAAATATTAATACAAATTACAAACTTTGAATAGTGTGCCTTTGCCACTATTAATGTCTACTGTTTTGTTTATTGTTGTCAGAATGACATTTCCAGTGAGACTGGGGAGTACAAAAGGCGGCCTGGTCAAGGACGTAAGAGAGGTACAACGCCAAGAGATGACCAATATTTGAAAATTCAATCTTTGCGAAATCGCAGGATGCAGGAGGATGCAGGCTATCATTAGAGGTAGGGGAGGAAACACTAAGTACTGAACTGTTATTATGTTGCCTCAAAGAACTTTCATTTTGTCGTCATTGTTGCTTGTTCTGATTAAATATTATTAACAAAACAAGTCTATTAGATTACTTCTTCTACAAGTGGTTATGCAATTTCAATATCTGGATTATTTGGCAATCAGTATACGTTAAATACTCCAGCATATACCATTTAGTAATGAAAACTGCATAAAGATGTAGACAAATAAAAATTAACATGAAATCAAGGCTTAAAATATAATATGCAATATTTTTGTCTGTGAGTGTATGATGAGAAATGATACACTTCGTTATTCCCCGATTTTTAGATAGTAGTTTAAATTAGTAGTTTGAATTAGTAACCTAGTGGAAGGATCTTTCGGTGGAGATCATCAAGATTTTCGTATTTTCCAGTACCACTTAATACTTTGTAATACTATTTTTGAATAAACACTCAAAATGCGCTAGTACCTGGTTATAAAGACTGTCTAAATGGGTTTTGTAACTCAATATACATGCTCGGAAATTGATTAATATTTTTCCCTACAACCTAAATCGTTCACCCCCTTTCGCATAATTTTAGGGGCTTTGAGTTCAAGATGTCTGTATACAATCCAGTATTCAGATTTTCGTTGCTTCTTCAAGAAAGAAGTTTGAATCATTCCCAAGTTCCATAGAGCAAGTGGTAACTGAAAATGAAGAGAATATTGCTACGGTATCATTCAACATCCTAAACTTGAAAGTTATTGTCATCAACTGCGGAACTCCTGAACTATTGCCAACCGATGTCATCGGATAGTAATCCAGGAGTTATGAACCTCTGAAGAAGCTAACCACTTGCGCCAGCGAAACGTCAGGAAGAAATTCCAAAAATCCACGGCCTTCGAACCCGCAAAATAGTTAACAGTAAAAACCCCGGCTGCGGAAGCGTTAACCATTGTGTTAAAATTGTTATTATTATAGAGAACTTGATCTGAAGTGTCTAATGAGTGTACGACAAAGACAAGTACTGTGCGCATAAAAAACGGCCTTTATTATTTTGCGTGACGCATAAATATTGGTATGAATAGTTTAACAAGGAAATGATAAAGGCAGCATACCTCATTTTAACATTATCTCCTGTTCAAGGTTCATCGACGAAAATGTGTTTGATATAGTTTATAAAAACATTCCATGACTTTCAGGTATTTTACATTCAAAAACGATCTACTACTGTTATTTTAGAGGTAGTAAATAAAGTGCAAAAATTGTCGAGACAGATCGATTTTTATTTCGAACGAGACACGGCATGACCTACAAATGGACAAAGAATAATTGTTAATTCGACTTCTTTCACCCTTAGAAACGCCTTTCATTGAAAATAGTCGAGCAACTCTGCCGTCTATGAGAGTGGTCTTTTGCGCCTTTTTTACACATTTTTACATATTTGTTGAAAAAGTTAATTCCGATTATTGACATAAATTCAAACCATTTCATTGATTAGAACTTTTAATCACAATATGGAACCTGACCATCACTCAATCCTTATTAAATAAGGCAAAGTTCTAACCTCCATGTGGCGCAGTCTAATGGGAAATAATGTATTTAAAAGAATTGATACAATTTCAGGAGTACCAACAATGGAATGTTAAACGCAGCCACTGTAGTCCTTATCGAATATGATCTATTGACTCGTCAATTGCTAAATATTTTTTAATAAGGTAAATTTACAAAATTTAACTCTACAGTTTTCAGAATCACCTAAGTTCTAACAATGTTGCGTTTTTCTTGACAGCAAGGTAGATCATTTAGACTTTCAGACCATTGCCGCATCTTTGATAATGTATGCCGTAGTCTGCGATGGTTTTTTTTTGTTCCTTACAACAAATACACAAAACGCGTCTAATCTCGACAAAATCCATTTTGAAGCTGATGTTCAACAACTATTTAGTTTCCAGTCAGTGCTTGGGAAAAACAGTGGGCGAATTTCAATCGACTAGATATTTATCGCCGAGATTACAAAATGTTTCCAGTGTGTGGCTAGAATTTAGTCGAAACTACATGCGTTTGTATATACCATCATTTCAAGAGACAGAAAAAATACAATAAATTTTGGATCTATTTTTAAGTTTAAAAGAAAATTTCAAGATTCAACCGTCAGTTTGAAAAATATTCAATTACTTTTTATCATTTCCGCATAGACACGAGTATATCTTATCAGCATATTTTTTTTAAACAGTTTTATTTAGCTTGCCCTGTTTGTTTGTCTTTTTGTTTGGATCAAATCCAGTAATAGAAGTTTGACTGCCTTCCCGACAGATTGATCTAATATTTGGTATACATATTTAGTTTTGATGACAATACAATTGAATGAATTCTGTATCTTTGTAAATCCAAAATGGTCGCAGCAACATAATGGCGAATTGGGTATTGTTTCACAACTACCTCAATTTGGGTATCAAATGGTAGGGCTTGACTAGTACAATAATAGTACACTTTGAAAAAAGATGCAAATTCAAGATGGCCCCAGCTACAAAATGGCGCATTACATATAAACTTGTATTACTTAGGGGTCAAATGAACTAAACAAAATGAGAAGAATTGAGTAACAAAATTAGAAACTAATAACTTGAAAATAAAATAAGTAAAAAAAATATGTTCAACGGTTTTATTGGAAAAAAAGATAACAATGATGTAGATTTTGTTCGAAAAACTGAAAAATAATTCGGAAGGTCCTAGGTAGCAGTCATCACAACACTCTTCTCAGCAATCTACGGTATTGATCAAATAAAAAATAATATAATCGTTGGGTGTAGTATTTAGGTAGATTTCAACTCAGGTTTTTTTAATCAATACCATAGATTGCCGAGGAGTGTAGTGTGATGACTGCTACCTAGGATCTTCCGAATTATTTTTCAGTTTTCAGTACCTTACGCGGCATATAATTTAAATGCTTTCACAAATACATCGAAGTCTAGCTACATGTTGATGAAAACTTTAGAGTAACTTATCGGTATGAACATTTACATTTTATTTTGCCAGCAACAATTGCGTCTCCAGGAATATCGAACGTGTTAGAATTCTTTAGATGTTTCAAAAAAGCAGTCGCATGTTTATTAGTTCTCAAAAGAAATACTGTGTTCTATTTTTGAGATTGGAAAGTTGCTTTGATAAAGTTGCTAGTGTATGGCTGGCATATAGTTTATACACATTGTACGTAAATTAATTTATACAACACTTCTCACAGTTTTATTGTCAATCTCAAACCTGTTGAATATCTGTTTTTCAATTCATAAACCAGCCTAATGATCAAGTTTAGCTTCATATTCATCG